GCATGGTATTGGACTGTAGTTAAAATTTTGGCTCTGGTTAATCCATTCGGTGATTTCAAGTCAATTATAGTTGGGGCCTCTCAGGTATTAGCCTTTTTTGGAATTGTTAGCTTTGCCTTTTTGAGCTTCAGATTTTTTATGGGGTGCAATTTTGAGCAAAAGTTACAATTTTTCTTTATTTTTGGGCCTGGAGACAGTATATGTCGATTACCATGGACATGTGATGAATGGACTAATCTTAATCCACATTACGTAACTGAGAGTCAAGGCCAAGTAAGATCGTTTTAGTTTATAGAATTAGAATATGCAATTTATGATTGTAATATAAAAATGAATTATAGATTATTTATTAACAAAGGAAATTCGAGAGGTCCCAAACAAAAGAACTACATTAGTTCGGGATGCAAAATTTGAATAATATTACTGCTAAGAAAAGCTGTAAACCCAGTACCCATTCAGATGAGTTGATTACCATTGATGTTGCTTCTTAGAGAGTATATCTTTCAGGTGAGCTGGATCTACAATGTTCCATTTGTTTGGATAATGATTAAACTCGAGGTCCATCCATATCATGAACCGATGAACTTGAAAATTCAAATATTTTATTTGGTAGGATATTGTTGTAATGATATATGATATATTCAAATACATTAGTGCATGCATGTGTTCCAATTTTTTTTATTCAGGAGGCATATTTTATTCTTGATAATTGCAACTTGTTGGAGGCTTTCTGGAGGCAGCCCTGGATTTTTTTTTTTTTTTACTTTTTTTTTAAAGGTAGCCCTGGACTTTCTGAAGCTTGTTTGAGATTAGTCATGGCACTGTTGTGGCGGTCAAAAGTTATCACTATCCTGCTGGACCTTTTGGACCTTGCGCCAGTTCTCATCAGAGCCTAATAGTGCCTGGTGGTCAAAATTTCCTGAAGCATTTTACTGCAAGCTTTGACAACTACTATGAATTTCTTTTTTTCACTTTTTTTTTTTTTTTGAGAAATTCTTACTTTTGTAGGGTTTATGTAATTTAAAATTAATGTTGATTATTGGTTAAATCCAACATAATGGCAAAATTTAGCAAATTTTATGGCTTTGTAGAACATGTTTCAGGTTGTAACCTACCAAATGAGTCCTGAAGGACAAGTATTCCCTATACGGTGCTGTGCTGAACTCCTTTTTGTTTTGTTTTCTCTCTTAAAAACTTAGTGTGTTGATGTATTTCTTCCTCTAAGTCATCCCCTGCTGTTTACAAGCCTCTTCTTATAGGTGCCACGATCCCTGCCTACCTGTCCTCCCTTCTCCTTGCAGTTATGTATGAAACAATATTTTCATGAACCAGTTTGTTAATGTTATCGTTGTTATTTGTCATCTCAGCTATGGAAGGTACCAACTGCTTACGTTCACTATTGCTTATCCTAAGCTTATAGTTATGATGTTTGGCATCATGTTTTTTGAGTCCTAGAAATCTTGTATAGTGTTTCTATAGAGCTTTTATCTGTTTGGAAGTAATTACATAATATTGTCTTTATTTTATAATATATCTTCTTAATTCAACAGGAACTCCCTGTTTTTGCATCCTTATTTAACTCTTGTATTTGTCTATAAAAGCATAAGTATTATAATGAAATATTTGAAGTTTTTTTCAGTTATCTTTATGTGGTATCAAAACATAATTAAAGCTAACAGTCGATCACCTTCCCCCCTTTATCTCTTATTGGTTTTTCCTATGCTTCTTTCCTCATTATGCTTGGCCTTTACCCTATCCCATTTCACTCGTATATTGCGATCACCTATGTTTTGCAATTTCGGTCTCGTCTGTTGTACGAGCTCGCTATCATTCACCTATTGCAAGCATTTGCATGCCTCTACTAGCAACATCGCATCTTACCATTCAAATTTGTCGCAAGACCTTTTCCTTTTGCCAACCTCGCATGCTTGTCATAACCCCTCGTCCCAATGTTAGTCTTCTCATTCTTGTGCAAGTTGTTGTCGCTTTCACATCCCCACTTGCACATGTGTCTCATAAATGATCTCATTTGGTGATTGCTTGCTTACAGCTTCAATTAATTGCTGTTCTTCTATCTATATACATTAGTACTCGTCACTATCCTCATATTTTCTTTATACTTTTCGTTGATAGCTTCCTCTACTTTGCCCGAAATAAAATGCTCCTCCAAAGCCGATTTTATTATCAAATTCAATGATATCAACTATAATTTATGAAGGCGATTAAGGCACACGTCCAAGATGCCTCAATTTGAGGTGCACAAAACATGTCTAGAGGCTTGTTCTTAATGTTGCTAATAAGGCTTGCATCTTTTTGAATTGAACGTTTGAGGCATGCTCCTCAATGAGGTAATGTAAACAATTTATATTAATATATTATATGTCAATATAGTTTATATTATATCTGATATATCATCGCATGCTTACATATTTTATTCTATATTTTATATACATTTTGATCTGTTCAGACACCCCCATTCGACTCAATATATAGGTTGATTGTCCAATCTGTGTGGCCATGCGAGGATGGTCGATCAAGAATCGTGGCAAATGAGGCTGAATCATAAGTTGATAGAATAATTACATGTGTTGACTTTTCTTAAAATGAGACTACTAATGATCTTGATTCTTACATTGTTTTTAAATTTTATGTGACTCTTTATCTTGAATCTCATTTTAAACTTTCATTTTACGCTAACATTGAGGATTTAGATTTGTTTTCTCTGATTATTACGTGATTATGTGATTTAAGTCCATATGACAATGAATTAACTAAATATGTTAAAAATTTGTCTTATATTTATAAATTAGTTTAATTTATAGATATATTTTTATTTTTTAGTTTTTGGCTTGTGGCTTACTTTGCTTGGGCAAAACACCTTAATTCTTGCTCTAACCTTCTTAAACTTTGCTATCAACCACTCTTGTGCTCTTAGATTTTGCATTTTCTCATTGGCTTGTATGAAAAGCTTCATGATTTGGACTCCCCACCTTTTGAAAAAAATATGCTTCAACAAGTATACAAAGTAGCAAGCCTTTGATTTAATATTTTTGATGATAATGATCAATAGCTTTGAACCTACAATTGCTTTCATTGTGATTTTCTTTCTTTAGGTTACTGAGCTTACTATGTGTTTTCTTTTGATCATAATGAAATTACTTTTTCGCTAACATAAGAGGTGATCAAGTCTTGTGGCTTGAATCAAAACTCTTTTCCATGTTAATCATTCCAATTGATTTTTTTCAGGACCTTAGTGTGAATATGATTGATGAAATAAAGGAGTAGCATTTATTATCTTTTTGACATTACATCCATTATTCTCTCCTCTACTATTTTCTTTTACTATTGGGCAAGACATTGCGTCGTAGACACTCTCCTATTTATAATCTTTCTAATTCCAACCATCATTTCTCTATTTCTAAGTTTGAATGTCAAACTGAGTATGGTAAACATCACTGCATTTTTTTTTTATGTGTCAATATTTTCTCATAGTTTACTCCTTTTAACTTGATCCACTTTGATAATTGGGGTCTATGCGTTGTATCCAATCATCTTGATTTTTGTTATTCACTTTAAAGAGATGTCATTCCAGTAGATTTTTTAATCGTGTTTTCCATTTATATGAGTGGGGTTGATGTGTTTTCTCTTTTTTCTTTGGTGGCGGCAAGATTAGAGAGAGTCCTCTTAGATGGTTTGGTCCCATTAAATATATTTTTGTAGGATATTACTATGCTTAGAAAGGTATTTGTGTTATGATCCAATTACATATTGTCCTATGTATTTGTTGATGTTACCTTCCATGAAGCCTTTCCCTGCAAACCGGTTGCCTTTTTCAGTATGAAATTTTCTCAAGGTACTTGACTTCTACCTCTTGCTCTCGTGCGTGCTTTTTTTCGCTATCGGTTTTGCATGTCATGCCTTCCAGTCTATACTATGATTGAGCATCCTTTGACACTTGAATCCTTCTATCTCAATCTCCCAGTTGCTCTCCTTAAATATACAACATTGTACTTACTGCCATAATGAAGGATGGATTTTACTCTAATGAATGTAAACAATGCCTTTCTCTATGGAGAACTATATGAAGTAGTTTGTATGGGGCAACCTCTTGAGTATGTTCCTCGACGGGAAAATAGCATTTGTAGGCTTTAGAAAACCATATATTATCCGAAATAGAATTATTGTACTTGGTTTGATAAACATTGTAATGCTTTTATTGGTATTGGTTTCTCAAATTGTTCAATTTATCACACTTTCTTCGTCTGCTATTTGTCCTAGGATATTATGATTTTTATTGTCTATATTGTTGACATTCTTTTCATTGGATATGATATTTTTGCTATTGTGGAGGTAAACTAAATATCTTCGAAAGTTATTTTTTATTGAAAGTTTAGGATGACGAATTTCTAGATATCCGAGTTTGCTTACCAAAAAATGTTTCTCTTTCCTAAATGAAATATGTCATAGACCTATTCAAGGAAATAGGACTTCCTAGGTGCAGCATGTTGACTTTCCAGTCGATACCCTTACAAAATATATAATGGCAAAGAAAAATTTGAAGGAACTCATTATTGTTGTAATTTGATTGCTAATTTTTTTTTTCTGATTGCCACTTGCCTGGACATTTTGTTGTTGTGGCAAGGAAAAAAATGAAAGATCATCGCTTATCATGTTTTCAATGAAGAACAATTGACATTTTTTTAATAAAGGCTCTGGAATCACTATGTTTCTACAATCTTTACAAAAACCTGGATCTTCATAATATAAAGGCTTCAACATAAAGGGAAGTGTTGCTCTAAGATTTTATCTGATTATAAGTCGGCAATTATTTTAAATTTTATTTTTATTCTATAGCTTATCCTCTTAATTATGGATATTGTAATTACCATTATCTTCACATTTTGTCTTTTGCACTAACATCAATGTTTCATTTGCACAAAAATTACTCGAGCAATGATGATTACAATTTTCAACTGAATGTGTAATTCTTATACAATCAGGTCTTAGAGATACTTAATCAGCAGCGTGCAACTAAGAAGTTATGCCTGAGGAGGACGCAGACAGGTCCCTGGTAAGCCAAATCTTGGCTGAAAAAGTTTACATGGTTAATTACATTCTGCCCCGTGAGAGTTTGATTTCTATCTGTAGAAAGAAACATGTACCCTTGCTGTAAATTAAGGATCAAGAGTGAGCTATTGTAGATAATGTTTCCCATCCCATAATTAAGTTTGGCCCTTTCCATGTTTCCTGTTTTGCGGCTGGAGCACTTCACTTTTTGCTCTGCTTTTATTCTCTGCCATTATCCATTACATGGCATGGAGTAGTTTTATTGTCTCAGTTATTATGTATGAAGACTTTATACACGATATGAATTATACTCGCATTTTTAAGAGCTATTTATCTGTGATTGTATTTCAATGTTTAGCGGACCATTATGATTTTAGCAGGGACAGCTTTTATGAGCATAAGTGGCTAAGGGGCCCAGGTTCAGGTTTGTGTCCAAAACTAATTTTTTGTATAGCCTGCGGGTTTTTGCGTAGCAGTATATTTGAGTTGATTGATGAGAAGTGCATTGTTATTTATTCACATATGCTGATAATTGTTTTATGCTCTGTCATTTTGTATATGATGGTTCTCTCACTAGGCTTTAGAATATATATATATATATA